ACTCCAATGGCATAGCACCTCTGCCTGATAAAGTCAAGACCATCATCGATTTCCCGTTGCCCAAAGTAGCAAAGGAACTTCGACGCTTTCTGGCAATGATCAACTTTTACAGAAGATTCTTGCCCAAGGCCATCATACATCAAGCACCGCTGGTACAGCTCATCCCGGGAAATAAGAAGAACGATTCTTCGCCTATATCCTGGACCGAAGATACCATCAAACATTTTGAGGAGTGCAAACAGTCATTAGCCACTGCAACTTTACTGGTACATCCATCACCAGACGCTAGTCTCTCACTCAGCACGGACGCAAGTGACACAGCAGTTGGCGCTGTCCTTCATCAAATCATCAACGAAGAACGCCAGCCATTGGGATTCTTCAGCATTAAACTTACTGATGCACAACGCAAATACAGCACGTACGACCGTGAATTGCTAGCCATCTATCTCAGCATTAAACACTTTCGCTACATGTTAGAAGGACGAATATTCGATGTGCGCACAGATCACAAGCCACTAGTTTTCGCTTTTACGCAAAAGCCCGAAAAAGCTTCACCTCGTCAACTTCGTCAGTTGGACTTCATAAGTCAATTCACAACATCAATTCAACACATAGCTGGAACTGAGAACACTACAGCAGATACATTATCTCGCATATCAACAGTAGATTCAAATATAATCGACTACAACAAAATCGCTCAAGCGCAAATCAACTGTTCTGAACTGAAGACGATTCTCAAAGATAAGACTACAACTCTACAACTCAAGTCAATAAGCTTACCTCACTCTTCAACTCCAATCATATGTGATTTCTCCACTGACACTGTACGCCCATTCATCCCTCAGCCATTGAGAACTACAATCATCAGCAAAATGCACAACATTGCTCATGGAGGCGTTAAATCAACACTTCACATTATCAAACAACGTTTTGTTTGGCCCTCCATGCACACCGATGTCAAAAACTTTGTTAAACATTGCATACCATGTCAAAAATCAAAAGTTACACGTCATGTCCACTCACCACTTCAACAATACGCACTCACATCTCAACGATTCGAACATATCAACTTGGATCTGATTGGACCACTACCCCAATCAGGACAATACAGATACTGCCTCACTATCATCGATCGCTACACCAAGTGGCCAGAAGCCGTACCTATCGAAGATATACAAGCAGAGACAGTTGCAGCAGCATTAATCAACACTTGGATCTCTCGTTTTGGAGTTCCAGCCCGTATAACTACAGATCAAGGTAGACAGTTCGAATCTAAACTTTTCAACGAACTATCGCAACTCCTTGGCATTAACCACCTACGCACAACAGCCTACCATCCACAAGCAAACGGAATCATCGAACGTTGGCATCGTACTCTCAAAGCTTCAATTATGTGCCAAAATAGGGAGCGGGTGGCCCAACAAGTTGCCAATCATATTGCTCGGACTACGATCAGCATACAAGCCTGATATTCAAACCACAGCCTCACAACTTGTCTATGGCACAACGCTACGCCTGCCAGGAGAATTTTTCCACATAAATAGACAGTTTCAACCACAAACAGAGTTCGCACAAGAGCTAACAAGGATCATGAGTGATCTGCGACCAATTCCAACAGCCAACCATGACACTACTAAGCCATTCGTTTTCAAGGATTTAGCAGAGTCGACACACGTTTTTCTACGCAATGATATGGTACGCGAGTCATTGCAACCACCATACGATGGTCCATTTGAAGTTAAAAGCAAGCACCCAAAATTCTTCAACATCATCATCAAGGGACGAGACACTAAAGTTTCTATCGACCGTCTCAAGCCTGCCTACATTGAATCAGAAAGACAACTCACACCTACCATCGCAATCACGCCATCATCATCACCTCCACCACAGCCAGTTCCTCAACATATGCCAAATCAACCAACTGGAAGACCTCGCCGCACAATTAGACTTCCCGTTCGCTTCACAACTTGAAGTCTAGGAGGGAGTACTGTGGCGATCTGGCATCACAATAATTCTCGATCGATACTATCGATAAAACATGATCTCTCAATTACCATCATTAGTAATAAGAATACATATAGACACTTCTTAAGCTTCAGCGCGACACATCACATGTACATATTACATCAACCTTAATCAATACAATTTTAGCAAATCATAGCTGTGTTCTAATTTAATACAAATAAATAGTGACGCATACATTCTCCACAAAAACCAACAAACAATATTTTCATAAATGGGAATCCCCACATTCACATACATTCATCAACAATACCCATAGAGCTATAGAGTCTTGGTGAATAACAAAAAATACCTGCTATTTATATATAATATATAAGCTTTATCAAATTCAAGCAGAGCAATTTAAAACCTAAATTACTTTCAATATTATAAAAATACATTACATAATCGTTTATACAGCTAAAGAAATCTGCGTAGCTCCTGAGTAAACTGCATTCATAATGTTTGTTCCTATTTACTCATTAAAACAGCTTGAGTTGTGTTTACTTTCTAGCTTGATTTTTCTATTCCTGACTGATTAATTTCCCACTCTTAACATGGCCTAGTATACAGTTAGTGAAAGTTATGCGCCAGCTACCCGCAATTGAAGTAAAGCCGCCAGCGTTTGGTTTGCCTTGGCAGATTGCGATTGAGGAAAGGGAAATCTGCAATTGAAATGAGCGCAGACCGCAGGACATCGGCTTCTCATTGCATAAATTGCATATTACGTGAAATGTGCGCGGATTAGAAATATACCAGAGAGAGAGAGAGAGAGAGAAAGGAGAGATAGACTTAGAACGAGACAAACTGACAGAGCGAGACAGGCAATGAGACAGCTATTATGTTGCTGTCTACGATGTCTGCATTGAGGGTATCCTGCTGCTTATGTTTCTTTCGCGGCTTGTTAGGATTTCCTTGATGCCGCTGTTTGTGTGCATGTCACGGCTTACTGCCACAAATTGTTGGCCAAAAACTTTGCTGAAACAGCAACAGCTACGAGGGCTGATCCATACAGTTGCGTTGGCTAAGAGTCGATGCAGGCGAATAGTAGAAACGACCACGAATTCTTCTGCTAGATAACAACTAAGTGCAAACTTTGAACTTTCACAAGAATTTTTTAATTTTTTATTAAAAAATTTACACATTTTACTGTATAATAACATTATATGAAAGTTTCTTAGCAAGTAATTGCTAGAAAAGTCACATAGGCAGCGAAAAACAAAAGTCTGGGCGATGCGTCATTTCCGCTCGCAAGGGGGTTGAGGGTGGCTGTATCGAAGGGGCGTCGCTGTGGCCGGGCGGAACGTGTTGAATGCTTAGGTGTGGCCTACGGCTAGCCTGGCTCGATTGTCTTGCCAGCTTGTGGCAGCCAAATTAAGTAAGCACAGCCTGTGTCACACTCCCAGATTCAGTGCGAGGTCCTTGACACCCGCTCTATGAGCGTATGTACTTGATAAGTCGAGAGCTGTTTGCGCTCGGTAAATAATTTGGTAACTTATTGCTGTCTTTGGCTAGAATTACAAATGCAATCGATATTACTTATTTGTCTGTTATCCCCCTCAAAAAAAAAAAGAAGCAAAAGTTTCAAATACTTGTTCATATTTGTCAATACCTACATACATATATATGTATATAAACACACATACGTGTATGCTTGTGTGTGTATTATTTTATTACCAGGATAGTTGCCCCTGGTTACAGCTAGGGCATAACAACAACTATTCAACTTTTTCTCTGCCGCTTTTGGGCATGTGTCCTGAAATTTTATTTCTTTGCCTTTATTTTGTCTGTTTTTTTATTAATCCTTTGTGTATTTTAACAATGAGTTATACGACAGGACAACACTGTTCCTGCTGATTTATGCTAAGTGGTGTAAATACATTTTTATTCAACTTTTTCTGTTTGCTGATTGTTATTGTGTTTATTTTAATTTAAGCAACGTTTAAAGTTTAATCTGATTTTGTCAACTGCAGCAGTTAATTATCTCTTGTTTGCTTGCCTTCAGTTTTCAAGCACCTCGTTTCGAATTGACTTTAAAGTAGCTTTGTTTTAATCTTAATTGGAAAATTACTTTTATTTTCCATTCACTTCAAGTTGACTGATTGCCCAATCAATTGCTGCACTTGGGAATTTCATTCAACTGGCAAATGGCAAAGGCAATGGCGAAAGCGAAGGCAACGGCAATGGTAACGGTAAATAGTTGAGCTTTGAGCATTGATAGCAGGCGTCGAAGGCAAACTGTCAGCATGAATTTTGCTCAAGCTTGTGGTTTGATTAGGTTTCATATCTGTTTTTTTTTTCTAAGCAACAAGAGACCAGCTGCGACAGCTACCCTAAGAGAATCATATGAGAGCTTTGAGCATATGTTATGATTATAGACATGCCCGCAGTGGGGGTTCGACACCTTTGCTGAAAGATTTATTTATAATAAATACACATATACCAACAAGCACATAACATATGATTATATATATACAAGATATACATATATTAAAGACTTTATTTTATATTTTTAGTATTAACAAATAAGTACAAATATTATTCGTTTTTAAAAATCCTACTAAAACAAGAATTAAATGCTACGAAAAACTCTCAAATTTAAGCGGCAAAACACTCTAAAATATAAACCACAAAAAACTCTCAAATTAGTGGCAAGAAGCTCCCAGCTTAATGCCACAAAAAGTTCTCTAATTAATCCTTTAAAATAGGTTTCAAACTGCACACATTTTCACATTTCCACAAATAATACAGATGTTTTTCCACATTTTCCAGCACATAAAAAACAAAAGCCACATTATATTTAGCACCTCAGCTGCACAAGTTGAAAAACAAATTATTAGCCTGCAAAGTTGTTAGGCTTAGCTTGTACGTTGATCACTAAACAATTAGTCATCTAAGGCAAATATACATACATACATATGCACATATGAGCATATATCATTTAGTAATTTCACATTTGCATGTTAAATCAATAGATTATTTGTGTGCTTTACACCTACCTGTTGTTCCATTTTTTGATTGCGGCTGCTAATTGCAGACATTTTGAGTTGAGCTTTCTTGCAGTTTGACCGAACGAATTGTTGTTGTTGTTGCACACGTTTAGTTCACTTGGTTATTCGCAATAATTTACTATTGTGGTCCCTGTCAAATGCACGGATCTACATTAGCGATTATTCATTATATTGCTGTCCTTGTCAAGCACACAGGCATGAGCCGATCGTACGCTAAGAATTTGCTCGTTTCTCTAATGTTCAGTTATGCCAAATCAGGGAACAAAATAAAATGAAATGCATTTAGCATGTATGTATGTGTATGTGTGTTCATATGTGTTTGACACACATCTGTACACATTCATATTTACTCATATGTGTGTAAGTGTGTATTGTATGTGTGTTATGACTGTATTTGATGCTGACAGCTGCCGTGCAGCGTTTGTTGAAAAGGAAATTTATTTGAAAGCAAATGAATGCAGCAAAACAAAAAACCGAAAAAAAAAAACGAAAACGAAAACGAAGGCACTGAGAAGGCGCGTCTGGCTGAAAAGTAGCTCGAGCAACTATGGCAAAAACCTACAAAAACAACAACAACAACAACAGCGAATAAGAGTGTTCTAACCAAATGTGCTCGACTGGCAAATACCCTCCATTTGAATTATATAGGGATAAGTTTTGAAAATAGAAGCGCACACAGCACGATCCAAAAATCACGCAAATGTGTACACATATATAGACACATATACATGCATATTCACGGTTATCTCTTGTTGTTTGCCACATAAATTTGCTCACCAAATATACCCTTTTCAAACTTTATACATGGGTACACAATTATAAGCACACCTGGTTGTCTGGCACTGTTGTTGTTGTTGTTTGTTGTTGTTGTTGCTTTGTTTACAATTGCAGTTTTTTTTAGTAGTTGTTTGTGTTATTTCTCTGTCTAAAGCACACGCGACAACGAATTTACATACATTTATATATGTACATACACGCATACATACATACACATGTAAGTATGTTTAGAAAATACTAATCAATTATACCGGCCCGGCGGTTGCTGCTGTTCGGCATGCGATCAAATTATGTTCGGTTTGTTGTGGTCGGCGATTCGATGAGTTTTAATTTGACTTTGGCACCCGTCGCATAATTCTCAAACATTTCTATGGCAACTGTTCAATTGGTATTTACATTTTTGCACTATTTCACAAGACGTTGCAAATTTACATGCATACATATATAAAATTTATGTGTATGCTTGCATGTGTGTGTGCATAGACTACACACATTCGAAGCGATAATTTTTTGGCGCGTCTTTTGGTTTGATGAACGCGACGGCTTCTCCGTTAGCAAAACCAAACGCGAACGGTTCAAAACAACAACTGACGAGAACCAGTTGTAGTGGGCCACACCAGCTGCAGCAGCAGCAGCAGCGTTTGTATGGAACGTTCCGGCAACGAAACGAATGTCAGAGCCGAACGGCGCGACAGGACTTCGCCACATCAGTGCCGCTGTCGTCGTACACTTCGAAAGGGAGGAATGGGAAAGAGAGTTGAGTAGCACTCGCCTCGCACTCTCTCTCTCTCTCTCGCACTCTCTCTCTTTTCGTCAGCACTCCAGTTGTTGTACTTCCTTTACGCTTGCACGACGCACTCAACACACGCACAGGCAGGGGCGCCGTTACTCACATCAGATTGGCTCCGGCCTGGCAGATGTGCATTGCTTCCTACCAACATATTCGAAAGGGAACTATGGAATTTTTGTTGCTGTGCGTATGCGTGTGCATGTGGTTGTTTGTGAGTGTGTGTGTGTGTCTGCATAAATGTCATTTAACGCAAGTATCTGATGCAAATCGTCTTGGCTTGCCAACTGTAAAAGCTGCTTACTCCAGTTGAGATACATTTGAGGATATTCGCATCACAAATGTCTTCATTCAAGATTATCGCTTCTAAGTAATTGTCAACTGGCATTTGCATACAGTTTGTTAAACATTGAGATTTAATTATAGAAATGGAAACACTGAATCCATTTAATGCAGAACTATAAAAATGGATTAAGGATATATATTGACGTATAAAAAATAAAAATATAATAAAACATCTTCAAGAAATACCCAATTTCTTTGTCAACAGAGATTTTCTTTTATTTATTATAAATAATATTACACTAAATTATAAATTAGATAAGCAAATAAATAGATCTTCATAATGTATTTAAATAATTCGTATGCAGTTTCTTTCTTGTCATTTTCAGGTTATGTAAGACTCTCGTGATCAATCTTTATGCTTAGAAAAATCTATACTTCTTCTTTGCTTCTCCTTCGGACGGTGGAGGCGGCGTTTGTTGTTGTGGTTGTTGTCGGGGCAACAATGGAGGCGGCGTGTCCAGTGGAACTGTTGCTGGCGACAGGGGGCGTGGCGGACGCAATATCGATGTGAGCGGTGGGGTGGAATTGGTATTGGGATTAGCTGCTCCATTGGCCGATGTCTCGTGGCTATCCTCCTCGATGGGACCCAGGCGTGAGCCATGCACCGATGCAAACTCCGACGGCGTCTTCACCTGGGATCCGTCCCCAAACTCACTCGCCATGTTCATGCCAATGGTGGCGCCCACCTTGGCACTGGCTCGTTTGAAGTGATCGCTGAGCTTAATCTGGACCACATTGATGAACATGGAGGTCAGCGCGAGGCCGAAGATCAGATAGATCATGCTGACCATCACATAGAATGGATTCGCTGGCACCAGGTCGCCGAAGCCAATCGTTGACATCGAGATGAAAACGAAGTAGAACGAACCGAAGAAGCTCCAATCGCTCTCGATGAACGTGTAGCCGGCGCTGCCCAGCAGGATGTAGACAATCAGTAGCATCGTGGCCACCGATATGGGCAGATTGAATTCGTCGTCCACTTCGAAGGTTTCCAGATATGGGGACGTCGGTGTTTCCGGGTGGGAGGTGCCCAGTGATTTGCCCGCCTCTGCGTCGCCCTCGCCCTGCGACTCCAGTTCCGCAGCCGTTGCCTCCGTCATGCCGAAGAACATGCTCGGACGACGTATGGCCAGATCGTAGACCGTATTGAATCCCGTCATCGCATCCCGCACCTGCTGCTGCCTGCGTATTTGACGACACGACCGGGTGTAATAGACCCGCCTCACATACGCCCACAGGAACTTCACGCTGCGCGTAAACAGTTTGCCCAAATCAGCCAGGACGATCAGGAACATTGGAATACCGATGATCGCATAGATGATCGTCAGACCGCGTCCCACTTGTGTCTTGGGAGTTATGTGACCGTAGCCTGAAAAGAGTAAATCGATAGATAAGTGTTGTGATAATTAAGTATAATATATATATTAAATACAAATATTAACTTTTACTTAAATATAATTTTTTTAAATGCAATATACATATAAAATTTGATATAATATATACAATATAAAATATAAAATATAAAATATAAAATATAAAATATAAAATATAAAATATAAAATATAAAATATAAAATATAAAATATAAAATATGAAATAAAATAAAAATAAAATCGAAAAATAAAATATACAAAAGAAAATATAATTATAAAATATAAAAATAATCTCTGAAATATATAATAAAAAAAAAATACTAATAAAGTAAATAAAATATGATATGAAATTTCAAATATTAAATTTTAAATTTAATACAGAATATATAAAAAATTTAAAATATATAGAAAGAAAAATAGAATTTATAAATGAATTGTAATAAGAAGAAAAAACAATGTGAAAATTAGAAATATTTGTTTGCAAGAATATCAAGTCAATTCAAATCTTTCCTTAGACAGGCTTAGACAAACATGTACCTATACCTATACAAGTACATATACATATGCATGCGACATATACATATATAAGCCTTGACACAGCCTGCTGAGCATTCCATCTTATTGCAATGCTCATATCTCCTCTGTAATATTTGCTTAAGTAAACCCTTCATCTTCTCTAGCTTCCTTCCCCCCCTCCCTTGATTGTAGCCCCGGTTACCTATGGTTGTGACCACAGTCCAGCAGTATATAAAGCAATTGACAAAGTTGAACGACTTTTGGCCCGGAAAGCGACGCAAGCCCAGCTCGGCCAGCGTATTGAGCTCATCCTCGAAGGTGCGCAGCTTATGGCGCGCCAAGGACTTCCAGTCATCCTCTCTGGCAACAGATCGAAACAAAGATTAAATGCAGTAACTGGAGAAGGGGAAGAGAGGGGATTCGGGTACCTCATGTTGTGGCTGACTGTCCAGAGATTGTCAATGAAGTCACGCTTCACCTTGCGCACCTCGCACTTGTAAATGTCCTCGGACATGCCCTCCGTGTAGCGGAACATGAGACCGCCAAAGCCCAGCAGCAGGATTAGCAGAATGAAGTGAGCTATACACTGATTCCTCAGCAATCGCATCTCGGCCATGCGCACAGGGTAATCCAGCTTGAGGCGCCGCCATTCGTGTGCCGCCTCCAGGCGCAGATGACCCAGCAGAGACCTCGACTTCACCGAAGCAGAGGCCAAACCCGAGGCTGTCTCTGCGGGAATCACAGTTTGCGTTTTATCCACACGTGGCTTACTCCTGAATAGGTTGCCCAGACGCTTGAGCAGAGCAGGAGGCTTCTTCACTTCTGTAAGGATGGGCAGCTCTTCCTTTGTGTCTGCCTCCACTGGAGGCTGTTCATCGTCTTGTGGAACTATCGCCTGCTTCTCCACCAGCTTGGGCCTCTCGAGGCTGGCCTCACGCTTTGTTCTCTTTGGTCGCTCCAGACTGGAGCTGCGCTTAGATTCCGGCCTGGCTTCAGGCTCGTGCGCTCTCAGGCTATTGCTGCGCTTCACCTTCTCCTGCGTGGCCAGACTCCTGGCCAGCGCTGCCTCTGCCGCTGCTGCGCGCTCGGCTGCCTCCACATAGGCGCGACGCAGCTCCTCGCGCTGCTGCTCCTCGCTGAGCTTCACCTTCACCGGAGAATCGACGACTGTTTCGCCCACCTCCACGTATTCGGTCTTCCGGTTCAAGTGCTCCGCCTCGATGCTGCGCGGCTCCGGCGTCTTCGAGCGGCGCTGTGGACGCACGGGCGACAGGGAGCTGTTGCGGCTTACGGAGCGGCGCTCAGGTGGCTTTGGTGGTGCCTGCTGCGTGGTGGGTGGTGGTGGTGGTGCTCCGCGTATGGGCGCTGCTATATAACCAGGCATGGCCATGGGCTGTGCCGTCGTCTTGCGCCGCGTGAGCTGCTCCTCAGCGGTGTCCGCATCGGAGGAGCTGAACTGCGTGGAGGACTCCTCGTAGCCGCTGCTGCGATTGCGCAGCCGCACCGCGGGCGCCTCGTTGCGCTGCAGTCGCAGACTCTGCACGAGGCGACGGCGCTCCTCCTCGTCCTGGGGCAGCTGAAAACTATCGCTGATCTTGCGATAGTTCTGCAGCAGCCGTTTGCGCTCCTCGTGGTCCAGCTGCTGGCGATGGCGCAGCTTGTGCTCCCGCCGCTCCCGCTCGAACAGGCGCTTCTCCGCCTCGAAGCGCCGTCGCTCCTCCTCGAAGCGCAGCATATTCTGCTCCAGGCGGCTCAGCGAGTCATCACCAAGCCGCTGCCGCTGCTGCTGCTGCTGCTGTTGCTGCTGCGCTCTGTAGGACTGCGAGCTGCCTGTCAGCTCGCTCTCGCTGGACTCGTCCTTGTGGCGCGGCGAGGACAGGCTGCGATGCTGCTTGATCAGCTGATGCGCATCCGGACTGCTCAGCTTCTCCGCCTCGCGCGGCTGCGACTGACTGC